AGCTGTGGGCTCCTAGGCTGGAATTATCCTTTCACAAGCTGCACCTGCCACAGTACCAGACTCTCCTTAAGCTCAGCATTCCTCAACACTAGCCCGTTCAGGTGCCTAAGTTTGATGCAGATGCTGTAATGTCTCAGCTGCAGTATGTCTATGGTAATGCCCCCATCCCTGGATGACTCTCTTCAATTTCTAGTTATAAGGATGCCATCTAGGAAAGAACAAAAGTGGAGTCATGCCCTCAGATGTGCCTCCAGAGTTAGTAAAAGGTGTGTGAACACCCTTATCATTATGGACATTTTGAAGGGTAGCACTAGGTACTGGAAGGGAAGTTGCCTGAAAAAAAACCATTGAAATCATCTGTGTGCTAAGTGAATTGGGAGATACAAATAAATCTGCTTTTAAAATTATCCACTGTGAACTGTCCAGTTTGTTTATTAGTTTGGAAAGATTGTAGACTCCCAATTTGGGACTGAAGCTTGAAAGAGATGGGGAGGTTTCAGATGGAAATTAAATCAACAAAAGTGTGAGGAAATAGTGTACAAGATATGCAGCACTGCTCTGTAAATCATCATAAGAAGACAGTGGAGTTCAAGCTTTCTCATCATATGTAATGAATGCACTTTCTCCTTGTTTCATAGAAGTGTAGCACAGGGTGCATGCAATATTGAACTACCCCATTTTGGCTCAGTGTTCTCAGAAGGATCAGTCTCGCTGAGGGCGCCAATGTTAACCTGAAACTAACAACTTATTAGTATCCTGTTGGTGTAAATTGTTCTTCAGATCAATGATAGCAATGGAAAAAAAGCACTGACCAGCACATTAGTTCTGTCCTGGAAATAGCGATACTTAAAATGCTTATCTTAAAAAGAAACGAAAAGCAGGATGCCTTTGACCAACTCTGACAACCTCTCCTTGACTTATGGTATAACAGCATACATTATTTAAAAAGTTAACCATAATAAATTCCTTCTGTGTAAAGACCTGTGCTTGCAAAAGCAAAATTTGCTCTAGATTTTAACGTCTCTGCTTTTTACAGGGGGTCAGATCATCCTTAATAAGTATTTTTTTGGTTGGTCTGTTGGTTTTAAAGTTGCACTTAATTTTTACCATGTGATACTTAATTCACAGTGTAACATTTGTATTTTTTTAGCATCCCTCCTTATACTAAAGTTCATAAATGAATAATATTCTTTCTTAAGCTGGAATGCCAGGTTATGTCATACCTAAATGTATCACTATTATGTCAAAACTGTGAGACCATGTGGCCATAATCCGAATAGGCTCGGTTTGTGTACCTTTCTTAAAAGGAAAATGAAGCGATTCTTAAAAATAATGTTCTAACAGAAATTAGTTGGCGTGTTTCAACAAAGGCCCCAGGCATGTGTAAAAATCACATTACACTTGGCACAAGTTGTCTCTCTTAGTTCAAAAGAACTTAAGGGGAAACTCAAGTTACCTATTATACTAAAAATACATTCCAGGGCATACCCTCTAGCTTCTGGAAGTTTTGTCAGATGTTCAGCGTGGGAGAGGTATAGCTTCTATGAATTTCAGCTGGAGACTAACTGCAATGTAGGAGAGTAAGAATGCAAAAGTCCTTTAGAATAAGACCAGTCCCTCACAAATTCGGTTTTTGTCTTAGGGGTTGGCTATAATGATCATTTGGTTTGTTGGAAAATGAATGTAGTTTGTGAATTCAGATACTTAACTTCATTTTACAACGCTACGTGGTGACAACTTTCTTAGGAAAATTTTGTTTAATACATTTATTTCAAGAGACAGAGAAGTGTAGCATGGTATAAAAAGATGCAAGCCCCAATTTTGCTAACTTTTTAAAAAGAATAACAAATCTTAGAGCACAAAGTCACATTTATTGATTTCAGTTTGAAAATTTGTTGTTTGAACAAATATTGAACACATTAACATAATGTATAGAGAGAGAATGCTTTCTAGATTTGTTGGAATGGATGTGCCAAATGCTGTTTTATAGAAGCCCTGATATGGGAGGGATTTGGCATCTTTGTTATTACTGTGCCAGTTAGATCTGGGGGTATTGTAAAATATTCTATCTCCATAGAGGAAGACATAGCACGTAGTTACTCTTCTGCACCACTAGGGCTAGTTCAGGCATGGCATTGTAAAATCATCCTGCTTTTCCAACCATAGGAACTAATACACAGAAAGCACAAGTGAATGGGATTGGACTACAAATTACCTAATTGAGGTTGTGTAAAATTCAGTGTTTATTTCCCTGGAGTAATTAAAGCCTCTCTGACAGATGTGTATTGCTAGAGTTTGTAAGATGAGGGTGACCACATAGTCTGCTGTGGTCTTTTAAAAACCTAAACCAGTTTTTGGTCAATTTTCTGCATTTTCCTGTGTCACACACAGACATCTTTGTATTCAAATTGAGATGTTTTCAACTATCAGAGCTGAATGGACTCAATTGGTATATCAGTGTTGCCCCACATTGTGACTCTTTATACTGCTTCTCGTAAGAGAAGATGTAACTGTAGATGCAGGATGTAATAGTTAAACAGGGTTGTGGACCATGAATATATAGATTACAATCAGTACAAGTTAGCCTCAACAGTGAGCTTCCTTTCAACCATTTGGACTATTGTCACTGCTTCCCCTCATTCAGTCTGGTGGTTGTTGTTCTTAGCACAAGACCAATAGACAGTATTGATAGTTTAGCAAATACTGTTTTCTGTTTGATTTTTCTATTTTACATGAGAGAGGGACTGTGCTTTGAGTGCTCCCACCCCCATGAATAAATGGTAGCTGTAGAGATTTCAAAGTTTGCAAAATATCATTGAATAGGTAAACAATTTACGTAGCTTTTCTTTTTATAGAAAAGGCTTATCTCATTCACATTGGACTTCATAAAAAAAATTGTTTTTCCCTTAAAAAAAGAAAGAGGAAAAAATCAAAATGGATACCCAACTTAGTAGGTAAGAGGCTTCTTTTGTTTTAGAGAGGTTTCTAAAACCATATAGTACAGTCTACTCAGCTAACTGCTCTTTACTTGAAGAAGTAGAGGCATAAAAACACTGAGGACTCAGTTCTAGAGTGTGAATAAAGTCTGGGTTACACAAATATTTCCAGGAAATGGAAGCAAATGTCATAGAGCCTCTTACAAACCAAATCAGAGCAGTACAGGGTTAACACTCTGACATTCTGAAGTGTCTTAATTAGGCTTTGGCAAAGAGCCATGGTCAGTAGAAAATGGGCCTCATCTGAGACGGGAGCAGAAACTAGTGGTTTCAGCCTCTGGCAAGGTCTTGTGCATTCAGCAGCATTCTGTGCTTGTGCCTACCTGTTGTGGGAAAGTGAGATGCTGTCCAGACCTGAAACAAAGCAGCCAGGCATTTTCCCATCCAGCTTTGCCATTGTGTGCTTAAAAAGAAAGAGAGGGAGGGAGGAAAAGGTACCTGTCAATGAACATGGCTTTTTGCAGTGATTCACTGCACATAGCTCCACTCAATTAAAGGAGGGCCTAGTTAACCCACAGAGCAAATCTCTATCAACTTTCTCAGACTAAGCCGATCATTTAGAGCAATATTCACTGTAAAACAGGATCGCTTGGGGATTTGAGGTTTTGAAGGTAGCCATGCTGAGAGAATTTTATAGTGCTGATGTTTGAATCTCTTGGTGCTTTCTTTACTAGTCTTTTCAAAATGCAAATAATTGTCGTTTTTAAAAATGAAAATTTTGAGACTATGATCTTTGATATATTGTTACATGGTTATTTTAGCACTCTAGTTAGTCCTTTACAATGGAACCAAAATTCAAGAAAAGTGTTAGTGACCAGACTCATTTTTTAGATATTGTCACAATTTAGATCAGTGGTGGGCAACCTGTGGCCCGTGGGCCACACACGGCCCATCAGGGTAATCCGCTGGCGGGCCGTGAGACAGTTGGTTTACATTGACCGTCTGCAGGCATGGTCGCTCCCAGTGGCTGCAGTTCACTGTTCCCGGCCAATGGGAAGCCCGTGCTGCTTCCCACAGCTCCCATTTGGCCGGGAATGACGAACTGCGGCCACTGAGAGCTGCGGGCGACCATGCCTGTGGACGGTCAATGTAAACAAACTGTCTCATGGACCACCAGCGGATTACCCTGACGGGTCGCGTGCAGGCCGCAGGTTGCCCACCACTGATTTAGATGGATCAGCCAGGTAGGCTAAATATAAAAACTATCTGTTTAAAAATATATAAATATATTTTCACACATAATTACAGGGCTCCAGGAGCAGGGACTGTGAATGAACAGAGTTATCTGGAGACTTGCAATAAAGTTGCAAGAGTTTGCAACACTAATATATATGTCCTGCACATAGACATGCATTGATACAGAACGCATAACTGTGACAGGTCCCCGAGGTGCAACCTGGATTGTGGGACTGCTGAGCCCTTTGTCCCACCAGTCTGGGTGGCCCTCACACTGTGATGCTGATGTCAAGCTACAAACCTCTAACAGGTACTGCTCTTACACAGATATCCACAGACAGGACACACCCAACTGTGTTACATGAATGATCTCCAAGCCACTCATGAATCATCAATAGAGAGGCTCCAGCCAATTCTCCCTAGCCTTGCACTCCAGAACTGTACCATCTTACACTGCTCAAGGCTCCTTTGGGTAGTGCAAGTTCATTAAGTAGTCTGCCACTCCCTCAGTGTGGAATGGACACACACTAGCCTTTGTAAACTGAGTTGAGATTTCCTAAGCAGTTAAACCAAAACACATGGTTATAGCTAAAATATAAAACAGGCTTATTAACTACAGAAAGATAGATTTTAAGTCATTATAAGTGGTAAGCATAAAGGTCAGAGATAGTTACTTTAAGAAAATGAAACTTCTAGTTTAAGCAAGAGTTGAATCAAACAATGTCTTACCCTGACAGACGGTACAAGCAGGTTTAGTTCCTCAATACAAAGGCTGGGACTGCCTTCCAGTCTGGGACCATCCTTCCCCAGTTCAAAGTCTTTGTCCTTCAGACGGTCTTCCAGGTGTTGAGCTGGGAGCAGGGAACTCAGAGGCCAAGTGATGATGTCACTGTCTCTCTATTTTCTTCCAGTTTTCTGGAAGGATCTTTGCTGTGATGTGGGTTAGTCTGTCCCCAGGGTGTACATGCCTCCTCCAAGAAATTTCTGGGATAGTGGATTGTGTGTTGATGGGCCATTAACACTTTCTGGCTATTGATGGCTACTCCTTTGTTGTAACTGAAAGGCTTGTTATGGGTGTTCCCAACCTCACAATATATTTCAGTAACATGTATAGTAATACTTGATAACTTCACTTACAATGATTGTACAAACAGTCCAAAAGGTTATTATCTCAACAGATCAAGACTTACAAAATGATATCTCAAAAGGCAAATTCTGTATAAAACATATAATCATATGATAGTGGTGAATATGGGGGTTCCGGAGTGCAGAGTGTCACAGTAACCTTAGACCTTTTGCGCCTCAAGCCAATACATTTGTAAAGTTGATATATAATTTATACAAGGTTACAGACACCTCCTAGTGCTCATAGGGTAGCGAATGAGATGATGGGGGAGATTTTCAAAGGCACGGAGAGCAGTTAGGTGCCCAAATCCCATTGAAATTCAGTGGGAACTGGGTACCTAACTCCAATTTGTGCCTTCATAAATCTCCCACCCTTTAAGATATAGGATTATTAATAATACATTACAGCACAGTCTGTTTTGCAACAACTTACTACCAAGCATAACGCTTACTATTGTGTGACGTCAAAACCACCACTATCTATATTTAAATCTACTTAGCTGAACCTGCTGTCCTCAGTAGACTGTCCCCATGTTCCAGTGGGACTCTGGAAGATATCTGGTGGATGCTGGAACATTGTAACAGAGCAGAAGTCCCCTGCCTTGGCTTTGGGAGACAGATGGCTCCGGACCCAATTGTCTCTTCTTTGGGAGATTCCAAACCACCAGAGGAGCCATCATCTCCTCCTCCAAGGAATTCTAACCCAGACAGTAGATCCAGCGCCTCCTGATACCAGTCTCTACCTCATCATTTGCCTCATGCTTTGAGGACCTCCACAGCCCCATCCTGATCCAGCTTAATGGCCATACTGGGGAACATGGGTCTCATACGCTAGATATGCCTGTGTGGTCTGCTAGGGAATCACTCTACCATTCCCCTCTGAGGGAACACCCAGAGCTTCCTCTTGAATCCATCGTTTCCACTGGTACCGAAAAGATTGTCCTCTTCATCTCCTGTAAAGCTGTCACTCTGGCATCTCCATCCCCTCCAGATGACCATAAACAGTTCCAAGAATTATTACTGTACTTCCAGTTAAACAAACTATTCTGGAACCTACTAGAGCAGTCTGGCCTGCACCACCCAGACCCCTACCCCCAACAGGGCAGAGAAACACTATTTCATTCCAGCCAAGGAAGTGGAATTTCTTTCTACCCATTCCACACCTAATTATCTGGTGTTCCAGGCTGCCGGAGAGAGAGATCTAGAAAACAACATCCAAAACCCATTCCTTTTGACAAGGAGGCTAAATGTCTAGACTTGTTAGGAAGGAAGGTCTTCATGTCCATTAGCTTTCAGTTCAGAATAGCAAACTTTAGAACCGTTGGCTAAATATGACTATCTGAACTATTCCAAGTTCACAGAGTTTATAGACAAGTTGACACAGCAAGACAGAGTTCAGTTCCAAGCTCTCACCTGTTGATTAGCAGAGTAGGATACACTCGAAATCCATTTAGAGATCCGCTGGGAAGATACAGCTTGATCTTTAAGTCATTCTCTGGTGGTGAGAAACAGTCTAGGTGATTTTCTGATTGATTTTATCCTTTGTATATAAAGAGCCAAGGCTCATTGCACATCAAGGGAATGAAGTCTCCTCTCCTCAGATGCACATGATTTCAGAAAAAACAAAGGTAATTGGGTCGACTGGTTTAAGTGTAACTCAAAGTACTTTGTGGATGAGATTTTGTTCTTATGGAATATAGTGTATGGAGGATTTGCTATTAGGCCTCTGAGCTCACCTACCATTCTCGCTGAGGTGATGGCCACAAGAAATGCAACTTTCATTGGTAGGTGATATATAGAACATGTGATTAGTGGTCTGAATGGAGGCTTAGTGAGTGCCAAAAGTACAAGGTTCAAGTCCCAGTGAGAGGTAGGTTTCCTTATTGGAAAGCAGGTTCTGATCAGGCCTCTTGAGGATCTCTAAATGGATTTTGAGTGTATCCTACTCTGCTACCAGCTGTCACAGCCTCCCCTTCATGGGGTAAGCGCTCATTCTGCAGGAGAACAAGCAACGTCAGTAGTGGAGTTCCAGCTACACATTCACAAGACATTATGGGCTAGTTCCACTGACTCCTCCACTGATGTATCTTTTGGGACAGCGGCCCTTCAAACAGCTGTACTACCTGCATCCTCAAACCTTTCTCCTATTTGAGTACTGCTTGTACTCACACATACAGACCAACATTTGAAGAAGAAAAAGAAGTTACTTACCTTATAGTATCTGGAGTCCGTATCTGTATTCTACCACACTCCCTTCTTCCATTCTGCTTTGGTTCATTGCTGGATTTGCTGTAGAGAAGGAATTGGAGAGACTGTTGGTCTGTTCTGCCCTTTATACCCTTGGTTTGAGGGATAAGGAGAGCAAGCGTGCATGCATGGACCAATGGACATTGCTTGCAAGAATTTTCCAATTCCAGGCGCATGGTGTGTATGTGCACCCACAGTGGAATACAGATAGGGACTGCGTATCTTGAAGAACATCCAGTTACTGTCAGGTATGTAACTCACTCGCAAGTGTGAAAGTTCTTGTATATGTTTGATTGCATTGTACAAAAAAGAAAGTGTGTCTAATTAAGGAAATATCCTAAAGTTGTAACTGAGCATGGAATCTTTTAAAATGTGTTTTTTTTTTTGCTTGAGAACCAATATAAGGATTTCCAATATTTGAAGACAAGTTATATTCTGATTTACACCCTGTTGAACCACTTTAATTTTGAAGGGGCTGTACAGTGTATAAATGAAGGCACAATTTGGCCCTTAGAGTGTACTTTTTTCACTGCAGTTGGGTGACTTACATTAGTGAGAGATGCATGGGAAGGTGAAAACTCAACCCTCAGTCTTCAAGTTTATTTAATCAATCAATTATCTATACAGTGCCATAGGTGTGCATGGTGCTTTGTAACCAGCACATCAAACTGTTTCCTGCCCCTGGGGATTTTGTATTCTAAATCAGATATAAAAGTAAAAGAAACAAAAGGGGGAAAGAGGGGGCAAGTATGGGAGAAGGAGGAAGAGGGTTGTAATCATGGAATGTCATATAAGTTTATTCTAATATGTGCATTTTGTCAGTTCCTCTTTTAAAAATATATTCAAATCTTGGCAGAAATGATGCATTATAAACACAAAGATAAAAAGTGTAATCTAACTTACTTTTCCTGTCACTTTTAAAAAAATGCCAATTAGATTATTTTGACAGGTTTCAGAGTAACAGCCGTGTTAGTCTGTATTTGCAAAAAGAAAAGGAGTACTTGTGGCACCTTAGAGACTAACCAATTTATCTGAGCATAAGCTTTCGTGAGCTCCAGCTCACTTCATCGGATGCATGCAGTGGAAAATACAGTGGGGAGATTTTATATACATAGAGAACATGAAACAATGGGTGTTACCATACACACTAACAAGAGTGATCATGGTAACACCCATTGTTTCACGTTCTCTGTGTATATAAAATCTCCCCACTGTATTTTCCACTGCATGCATCCGATGAAGTGAGCTGGAGCTCACGAAAGCTTATGCTCAGATAAATTGGTTAGTCTCTAAGGTGCCACAAGTACTCCTTTTCCTTTTAGATTATTTTGTTCATTGCATTACATCCTATAGGCTTCATCTCTAACCAGCCCTTACCCTTCTTTATATTCAGGGTAGTAATGAATAACTTTCTTAGTTTGAATGAGAAATAGGAGATTGTAATGTGTTATGGATGGTGTCAGGGAGTGATTTCTCCAGAGATGATGATACACGTTGCTTTCTGTTACTTTTATAATTTTGACCAAAATATTTTTCCCCTTGATATACCAATTAGTTAATTTACACAGATTCCTCTCTCTCTTTCTTGAGCCCTACCCACCTCAAATGGCCTTAGTATTCAGTAAGTCCATGCTTTTGTCTGGCAGATTTCTTAGACCTGGTGATACCAGATAATCAAGCTGCCTGTGACGTCATAAAATGTGTTGGATCAGGAAGGCACCATCAGCCTGGCTTCATTTTGTTTCTAAGAGTCCACAGTAGCTGTCATTGTCTTAGAGTAACTGATATCCTGCAGTCCTTACAGATCAATCATTGGTCAAAAGAAACTTTTGTGGCCTTTCAGACCATTCTGTGAGCACAAGTTTAATTCATTGAAGTACTGATACGAAGCATGACCTCCTCTCATGTCAGATGAAAGTCAGTCACAATATTGTGATGAATTGTGAGAGAATAACCTATATTATTGAAGGCCTCTCTCAATATAAAAGGATTAGCTCCAGAAAACTTTTTTTCCTGCTGCTGTTCAGTGGTAGGAAATATACATTTTTATTGGAGAATCTACTGGTTTTGTTTCAACTATTTAAAAACAGTTGCTGAGCCAGTTATACGCTTTTTTAGTGCCCATAAATACATAAGGAATTAGAAATTTGTGCAAGTGTAATTTTTAGTCACATTTTTCAAGTTTATTACTTTATATGAAGGAAACTGGGTGAACATTAAAACTGTTAACCAAACTGAAACAAGTTTAAAATCCAGGAAGAAGGAGAAACCACAAGTTACCTTGAATTCAAGTTAAAAAAATAAATAATTACCCTCTGCCTACCCTGTCTTTAAATCCTTTGCTTATGAATAAATTTGTTATAACTATTTACACAGGAGAAAGTTACTTGGGCAGCTACACTTACCCCTTGTAGTAAATTAGTTTAACTTTCAGGTCAGTGCTGAGAAGCATAGTTTCATTTATTTTAATTTAAATATAAATATATTTACATTATATGACTTTTTTTTTCTAACTGTCTTATTTAACTGGTGTATATGGGGAATTGAAGAAAAGATCTTTTTGCAGTGTTTCAGGGATACAAAAATTCAAGATACAGAGTTGACTTACGCAAAATATTTCATACTGAGAACTCCAGCTCCCTGATCACATCTACCTCTGAGCTCCCCTGAACGGAGCTCAAAGCTTGAAGAGTCTATAAACATGGTTGCCAGCTCCCGGTGCTGACAGGAGCGATACTGGCCCCCAGTTCTGCTCTCTCTTGCCTCCCTGACCCCAGTTCCATCCCCTACTCTTCTCCTTCCAGTAAAGAGAAGAAGAGGACTTAGATAGGGACTGGCCTAATTAGCCTCAGAGAGCTGGAATGGCTATTTTAATAGCCTTCCAGGCGTCATTGACCTCAGCCTTGGAGTGCCGCCTATACTCTGGGGTAAGAGAAGCAGAACTAGTGATCTAGGGGTGAGGAGTGAGTGGAAGGGGAGATATGTGGAAGATGTGGTATTGCCAACTCATGATTTTTTCACAAGTAATGGATTTTGGCTGGGGCTGGAGCTGCAGCCAGTCTGGCAATGACACGAGGAGCTCTAGCCCTCTAGCAAATGACAGCCTTCCCTGAGGGAAAATCCTCTCTGATTGGCTGCCTGTCCCGCTTGCCTGCCTCCAAGGAAAGAGCAACCAGTCAGGGCTGTTGTAGGAAGCAGGCTGAGCTCTCCTGCTCTTCCCAGCAATTTGGCCCATTCTCACTGGAGGGGATGGGGAGGAGGGAACAGAAAAAGCCCAGCAGCTGTAACAGCTCCTCTGCTCCTTCCCTGTCTCTCACCATAACACCTGGACTGGGAAGGAGGCAAGCAGTTAAAGGACCCCTGGAGTTGGCCCTCGGCCTAGAAGGGGGACCCCACTGCTGCCCCCCTACCAGGCTGAGGGTGGGATTAAGAGTTCCAGGAGGAGTAGAGGTGAGGCTGGGGAGATTGGAATAACTGATGTAGGGGCAGATTGATCTGGGGACTGAGGAGCAGAACTGTTGGGAGGCTAGGTAGTTTTGGGACAATGGCAGGACTGATATTGGGTCTGGGGGGGGCACGATTTATTTGGCACTTGTGGCAGATGTGAAGGTGAGAACTCCTGCAGCATGGGCCAAAAATCACATTACCCAATAAATTTGAGAGTGGGCAACACTAATTGTCACACACCCACATTAGGGGTGGGCAGGGCCAACTCAGAAATCAAAAGACAGATCATAAAACACAACATAATCTGTTTTGTTTTTGTTTTTTGCTGTGTTCTTTCTGCCTCGTGATTTTTGAGCCATTGGGATTGGCATTACTGAAGATGGGGTGCAGATATGGGGGAGAATAACTAGGACCTGGGAATCTATACTATGTTTTTTTAAAAGTAACTATTTCTTGGCACTTTGGCCATTCCTACCCTGGACATGAGTAATATCCCTTTAGATTGTATTATGTGTTGTAATTTCAGTACCCAATCCTAAAGCCCTTACTGATGTGATATACTCCCATTGACTTCATTGGAACTACTCACCTGAGCAAGGACTGCAGGATCAAACCACCCTCTCAATAGGTTTTTTTTTTTAGATTCAGTAATCTAATTTGCAGTGTAACTTTAACAGCCCCATTCACATGCTGTCTTACAGATGAAATGAAGTAGCCTGTTCAGAATTCTGTCTCATGAACCATTCTTCTGTATGCGTGCTTGAGTGCAGACATCTCTTTAAGACGCACAGAAATTTACTCTGTGTACACATATAAGCACACCTACAACTTTTAATTTTCTTCAATCTTTTTAAAAACATTACAGTTCACTGTATTTATTGACTACTAGAAACCATCTGCTGTGTACCTGTCTCTGCTGACTATATTGTGACAAGGAATTGGTATTAAAATATATTAAATTGGAATATTTATCAGTTTACCTTGAGACTTATATCATGCAACAGCATCACATGATCTGATAATCGTAAAACCAATCAAGTACAATAATACAAATGAGTAGTATTCTGACGGGTACCTAATCTAGAGTAAACTTGTCAGATGGGACCAGTACAGCTGGGCAGCAAATTTTCTGCAGTGTCAAAGTCCTCTCCCCTAAACTCACAGTTCCTGTCAAATCAGTTTCCGAATTATTTCTGGTGCTTGTACGCCTCTTAACTCCATTACATACATAACCTCTTTAAACATTAGTGGTGAAGAAAGTAGGATAAAAACCTTTTTATTTGCGTCCTTGCTTATACATCAGCCTAATCAGTGATTTCAACGTTTTGGAAGTCATGTGTAGCTGCTCTCCATCTGCAGGCTCTGCAGCAGCAGTAGCAAGAACACAACTCTGGTTTTAAGTGAATCGTAAATAAAAAAGTTACTATTGTTTGAGAAAGAAGGGTGATAAATTATGATTAAACTTGAAGACATTTTCCCCTATCGGGTAACAACTTTTAAATGTCAGTAGACTAAACTTTGGGAATCAAATATTTGATAATGTCTTTTTTAAAAAAATTTTTTTTCCTCCCCCCCACCTTCCCTTTCCCTCCCCC